TCACTTCTAATTATATCACTTGTCATTTACATCTTGTACAAGATTCTAAACCACAAATGCATGGGACCCTACTTTCATTTCCTTTTGACATTCTTTTGGGCGCTTTCTTGTGACTATTTATTTAATTTTAAGGACAAATTCATCTCTTACCCGCGACAAATACCTTCTGATTTATGACGCTGCCAAGAATGATAAACAGTCCAATTTGCCCTATAATAATGCCTTTCTTGTTGAGTGGTACAATTCATTTTGACACGTGTGTGTCCCAAAAATAATAAATATTATTTATGTCACAATCTTAAAAACAATTAAAAATATTAATAGTAGAATCGAATCATTCCATCTAATAATTTATTTTTAAATTTTAATGTTTAAGTTTAATTTATTAAAAATTTGATTTTTATTTATTACTTAAAAATTCTTTAATTCCCTATAATTTCTCATGTTACAAAAAGATATTAGTAGTAAATAAAAATATTAGTAGTAAATATTTATGGGAAAGTTTTTTTTTATTTATTTATATTTTTTACGTATAAATATATTTATTCATTGAATCGAATAACTCTTATTATTTTATTAGAGTGTAATTTTTCCTCTCTCAGTATAAGTCTGATGATACTTTTAAATATATATATATATATATATTTACATAGCGTATGGGAAAAGTTATTCCAAATAATTTTTTCCCCAAAGTTATTCCGAAAATATATTGACCATACAAACACTAATTAGCTTTTTTCGTTTCCCCAATACTTTTTGACTTGGATAAGAAATCGGAACTTAGTCAATATATAATATGAACAATCTTAACAACTCATCGTTGACGTCGAATATTGGTAATTGTTGTAGTCTACAAATTAAATTAAATTAAATATTACCTTCATCTGATTTTTTTATATATATAAAAAAAAAAACAATACTTAGAGTTTGAAGAGAACAAGGTTTCCTCCTAACCTTCCTTTATTTTTTAATTTTTTATTGATCTCTGCGGCACACCGGTGCAGTACTTCTCCAAAACAAATGTTACTTAATAGGAGGAATAATTTTTTAATTATAAAGGAAAGTAACAGGAAATTTCCTTACCCATTAATTTAATCCAAAATAAATTAATTTTCCAAAAAAGTCCATAGTAAGTATTAGGTGCGGCCGCCAACAACCAAGGATCGATCATAACCTTCCGGATCACATCACGTTGCCAGCCATCACCGTTGATTTTGCCACGCGGCGGAATCCCATTGGTTATCCCTACGTGGAAAATATGGAATGTGGGTGCCTACACCTACAGTCCTTCCGAAACCAATAGAAAGCCGAATGGAAAAAATGCACACAAAAGGAGAGAGAAGTCTGTGAACTTATTGAAGCAATTGAATCGCTCTTTCTCTTAATTTTCTCAGATCTCTGTTAGCTTTTCCTTTTTGGAGGGATAAACTGTTGAGGTTTGTGGTGGAGAGAGAGTCTAGTCTGCTCCAAGATTTCGGTAAGCCGAAGCCCTAATTTGTTGTCTTCCTTTGATTTTGTTTGATTCTTGATGTTGATTGGTTGTTCTTTAATTTCTTTTGATTTTTTTTTTTTCTGTTTGGTTGCTGAGAGAATTTAGTTTGGAGTGAAGGTTCGTTTTTTGTGATTTTGTTAGATGTATGTCAGTGTTAAAACTGGAATTCAGTGCGACTACTAGTGTGAAGTTCAGTAAGGATTGAGGACTGTCTTTGTTTTATTTCGGTTTGTTGGAGAGTAATCTGAGTTGAGTGATTTGTTTACTAGATCATGATGTTTTTAAAAAAATTTCATTTTCTTTTTTCAGGTTGGAAATTTCTGATTTTTTTTTGGATAATCTGTTGTTATTTATAATTAATTGAAGGGTTGAATTTTTCTAGGGTGAATAGCAATGGGAAGAGGAGGGGAAGATTATGGGAAGAGAGAAGATCTTGGTGCTAACTCGTCAAGTCAAGAAACTTTCCCTGATTGGGCCAGGGATGCTTCAGAATGTGAAGAGAAGCACCAAGTGAAAAGACAATTTGGATTGTCTAGTGATGAAGTTGAGAAAAGGCGTCAGATCTATGGATGGAATGAGTTTGAGAAACATGAGGGGACGTCGATTTTCAAACTAATCCTGGAACAATTTAATGACACGCTAGTTAGGATTTTGTTGGCTGCAGCAGTTATATCGTTTGTCTTGGCTTGGTATGATGGTGAGGAAGGAGGGGAGATGGAGATAACCGCGTTTGTGGAGCCGCTTGTTATATTCTTGATCTTGATAATTAATGCTATTGTGGGAATATGGCAGGAAAGCAATGCAGAGAAGGCATTGGATGCTTTAAGGGAAATTCAATCAGAGCAGGCAAATGTGATCCGTGATGGTAAGAAGGTCTCAAATTTGCCTGCAAAGGAACTTGTACCTGGGGATATTGTGGAGTTGAAGGTTGGTGATAAAGTGCCTGCCGATATGCGGCTTTTGAGTTTGATAAGCTCAACAGTAAGAGTTGAGCAAGGGTCCTTGACTGGAGAGAGTGAAGCTGTGAGCAAGACTGTGAAGCCTGTTCCTGAGAATTCTGATATTCAAGGGAAGAAATGTATGGTTTTTGCTGGGACCACTGTGGTGAATGGAAACTGTATATGCTTGGTCACACACACAGGCATGAATACAGAGCTCGGAAAGGTGCACTCCCAGATTCAGGAAGCATCTCAGAGTGAAGATGACACTCCATTGAAGAAGAAGTTGAATGAATTTGGAGAGGTTTTAACTATGATAATAGGTCTTGTTTGTGCATTGGTTTGGCTTATAAATGTGAAATATTTCCTTAGTTGGGAATATGTTGATGGTTGGCCAAGAAACTTTAAGTTTTCATTTGAGAAATGCACATATTACTTTGAGATTGCTGTTGCATTGGCTGTAGCTGCTATTCCAGAAGGTTTACCAGCAGTTATCACAACATGTTTGGCACTGGGAACTCGAAAGATGGCCCAGAAGAATGCACTTGTCAGGAAGCTGCCTAGTGTTGAGACTCTTGGTTGCACAACTGTTATCTGTTCTGACAAAACAGGCACTTTGACTACCAATCAGATGGCTGTTTCAAAGCTTATTGCTATGGGTTCAACGCCTGACACCCTACGAGCATTTGATGTGGAAGGGACCACCTATAATCCTTTTGATGGAAAAATACAAGGCTGGCCAGTAGGTCAAATGGATGCCAATCTTCAAACGGTTGCAAAGGTCGCTGCTGTTTGCAATGATGCTGGCGTTGAGCAATCTGGGAATCATTTTGTTGCCGTTGGAATGCCCACTGAAGCAGCACTAAAGGTAGTATATTAAGAATGCCAGAATCTCTATGTCAATGATTCCATAGTTTGTTTCTTCACACGGAATTGGATGCACTGCTTCTCCTGGTCTACAATATTGCATAACCAGCGTTTGCTTGTCCTTGAATCCCATAGGTTGTTTGTAAAAGTTGCATGGCATGATGGCATAATTGAAGTGGATGGTTTATGTTGCACGTTTTTCATGTTGATAGAGTTTTTTCCTTTTCCAGGTTTTTGTTGAGAAAATGGGATTGCCTGAAGTTTATGGTTCTTCAGACCATGCAGATCCTCAACGTATGTTAGCTTATCACTGTCTTTTTTTCCTTGGTGGTCTATAGGTCCTAATATGGTTTGTTTTTAATGTTGTTATACTACATAAGGTTGTTCTCAACTATGGAACAAAATGGAACAACGAATTGCAACTCTTGAGTTTGACCGAGATAGGAAGTCCATGGGAGTTATTGTGAATTCAAGCTCAGGAAGAAAATCATTGCTAGTGAAGGTTTTTTGACTTTTCACTACTCCTTGCCCTACCTAGTTTTAAGATGATTTTTGTGGTTATGAAGCATATTTTCCTTTTTTCCTTTGTCAATCTAATGAAACCTCCTGAACACTGCAGGGTGCAGTGGAAAATTTACTTGAGAGAAGCTCCTTTGTCCAGCTTCTTGATGGTTCTATTGTAGAGCTGGACGCATGTTTTAGGGACTCAATTCTACAAAGTCTTCATGAAATGTCAACAAGAGCATTACGTTGTCTGGGTTTTGCATACAAGGAGGAACTTTCAGAGTTTGCTACATACAATGGTGATGAAGACCATCCAGCTCATCAGCTTTTGCTTAATCCATCCAATTATTCTTCGATCGAGAGCAACCTTATTTTTGTGGGTTTAGTTGGTCTAAGGGTAAGTTGCTCTTACATCCATTTGCATGGTTCCTTCTTTTTCTTACTTGATTTTACTTTTCTAATCTCTCTGAAATATTTATAAGGATCCTCCTCGGAGAGAGGTTCGTCAAGCAATTGAAGACTGTAAGGCTGCTGGAATTCGTGTTATGGTTATTACAGGAGACAACCAGAATACAGCCGAAGCTATTTGTCGTGAAATTGGCGTGTTTGGAGCTCATGAAGATATTAAAGCAAGAAGCATAACTGGAAAGGAGTTTATGAATCATCCTGCTCAGAAAAATCATCTAAGACAGAGCGGAGGTCTCTTATTCTCCAGGGCCGAACCAAGGCATAAACAAGAAATAGTGAGGTTGCTGAAAGAGGATGGGGAAGTGGTTGCCATGACTGGAGATGGAGTCAACGATGCACCTGCCTTGAAGTTGGCCGATATTGGAGTAGCAATGGGCATTGCTGGCACAGAGGTATCTGATCATTTACTGCTCCTAAGTTGGGATGACTTTCCTGTCTCATTCCATCTTATCTGTGCCCCTTTTTTATATATAACAAAAAAAAGGCTCTGATTTACTCCTGCACAAAATGCCAGGTTGCAAAAGAAGCTTCTGACATGGTGTTGGCAGATGACAATTTTAGTACCATAGTTGCTGCTGTGGGTGAAGGCAGATCTATCTACAACAATATGAAAGCTTTTATCAGGTTTGTATTTTCTGTAGTCTAGTCTAGAGAGGATATATGCAATGAACAAGAATCTAGTTTGTATTGTTTAAATATGTAATTTGATGATTAAATGTTGATTCTAGCCTGATTCTTTTGCTGAATTAGCAATTTGGGCTTGATATGAGTACAATATCTTTATGAAAAAACCTGTATCCTTTCTGACTAGAAGTTTTAGCTTGACGCACCTCTGTTCATTCAATCTTCATTGTTTCTTTCCATCTCTATAGAGTTTTTTTCTTATTTATATTTGCAGGTACATGATATCGTCCAATATTGGTGAGGTTGCCTCTATATTTTTGACATCTGCTTTGGGAATTCCAGAGGGTATGATCCCTGTTCAGCTCCTCTGGGTTAATCTGGTTACTGATGGACCTCCGGCAACTGCTCTAGGGTTCAACCCTCCAGACAAAGATATAATGAAGAAGCCACCCCGAAGAAGTGACGACTCATTAATTACTCCTTGGATCCTATTCCGCTATCTGGTATTGAGACCTTGTTCCCGTAATTGTTGTTAAAACCATTTTTTTAATAGCTTGTTTGAAGCAGAAATAAGTATTGAATTTTCTTTATAACTTTCAAGCTAACTTACACCTACCTTGGAACAGGTTATTGGATCCTATGTTGGGATAGCAACAGTTGGGATATTCATTATATGGTACACACACCACACATTCTTGGGCATTAATCTCAGTGGAGATGGCCATAGTATCGTTACCTACTCTCAACTTGCTAACTGGGGTCAGTGCTCTTCATGGAAGAATTTCTCAGCCTCGCCCTTCACAGCTGGGTCACAAGTGTTTGAATTTGATTCAAATCCATGCGAGTACTTCCACTCGGGGAAAATCAAAGCCTCAACTCTCTCCCTCTCTGTCCTGGTTGCCATTGAAATGTTCAACTCTCTTAATGCGCTCTCGGAAGACTCAAGCCTGTTGGCAATGCCCCCTTGGGTCAACCCATGGCTTCTTCTGGCTATGTCCGTTTCGTTCGGCCTTCACTTCTTGATTCTCTACGTGCCATTCCTCGCACAAGTTTTTGGTATTGTGCCACTTAGCCTTAATGAATGGCTTTTGGTTGTGGCTGTTGCTTTTCCAGTTATTCTAATAGATGAAGTTCTCAAGTTTATTGGGAGGTGTACAAGTGGATTGCGCTATGCTCGTCCAAGCAAGCTCAAGGCAGAATGAAAATTTGATTAGTTAGATTTAGTAGACATGAATTGTTACAAAACTTTATCAGTATCTGTTTGGACATAATAGTACTCTTCACTTAAGTTTCCATTATAAATTAAAGATTTAAGTACCATTTTAGTCCCTCAACTTTTCACAATTAAATGCAAGGGATTTTTGTTTAATTTTCTAATCTTATATTACTTTCAATACATAAATTTATTAGCAGTTTTAAATTTCATTGCAACATCTCAATAGACTTTTTGATCTGAATAGGATAAAAACCAGATTATCAACTTCAAAACTTAAAATTCACAGCTCAAGCCCTAATTATCAAGTTCTCTTGAAACGCTTTTCGTTAGATCCATTGCTAGACTCCATACTTTCTCCAAAATTCTGTTTCATTGTATAGCCTACCAAAATCTAGCCTTTGTTCTTACCTTCGAAACTAAAAGTGGTAGATCTTAGTTGCTCCAACTAAGGCACGTTAAGACCAAATTTTATCAGTTCAATTTGATTGCGTTATTCTGTTAGCTCTACCATCAACGTCTGCTTGGCATTTCAACAAACACATAGCGGGCAAGCAGTTCAATCCATGTAAAGAGCCATTTTAGACGCTAAAATATTTAAACTTCCATTAAAACTTTGATGGAAACCATGGATTACAATGCTACGCAACTAGAACCAGTAATTACATTACATGCCCTAAAATCCCAACTTAATTCTTGACAGCAAGACTTCCTCATCTTGGATGCCTCAGCCAAAACCCTAATCTCACCCACCGAACCCATACAAAGTCCTGCCCTGCCTCTTCAGTGCGTAGACGACATCCATCGCCGTCACAGTCTTCCTCCTGGCGTGCTCCGTGTACGTAACGGCATCACGAATCACATTCTCTAGAAAGATCTTGAGAACCCCACGGGTCTCCTCATAGATGAGGCCACTGATACGCTTAACTCCTCCCCTGCGAGCCAGGCGGCGAATTGCCGGCTTGGTAATACCCTGGATGTTATCACGGAGAACCTTGCGGTGGCGCTTTGCTCCACCCTTCCCCAATCCTTTGCCTCCCTTTCCTCTTCCAGACATCTTGAATTAGATTGAAAAATCAAAAGGAAATATCTGCACCCACCAGAACACAGAATTGAAACATTAAAAACAAAGGAAGAAATTAACAGATCAAAAATACAGATGGAGAAAATGCGTATTAATTCAGAATAAAATTTGATATTTACCCGAAATTTGGAGATTTTAAGAGATGCAGAAATTGATTAACTGAGGGATAGGAATTGGGAGCATTTTATAGGAGATAAGAGATGTGGAGTTTGTCGGACAGAGGGTTTAATCCATGTGATGTTTTCAGAGGTACATCGGCCGTCGATAAGTTTAAATGCACGGTCTAGATGGAGAGATGACTGACACGGATTGATGACGTGGACGATTTCATCGATTTGTGTTTCTTCTGTGAGTCCAAAAATATTTTAGCGTCTTTTGAATTTTGAAGGAAAAATACAGCGCGCGAGAATTTGCCGCCCCGAAATTGAAGGCCCATGAACTATTGGGCCGAATCGGGTCATCGGATCCGATCAACACCTCTGCGTCTCTCTTTTCCCTCCGAGACCGTACACGATGGGATTTTTCGATCGTATCCGCGGCAACCGCCGCTCAGAAAGCTGCGCGGAACAAATTCGTCGTTATGGAGCTTGGCTACAATGGCGAATCGTCTACGACTGTACGATGAATCGTGACCGTTGTTCAATCTCGCTGCTTACTCTATCTTCCTTTCTTAATGTAGCTCCTTCTCTATCCTCCTCCGTCGACTTCCACTGCGACCTGCTCGGGCGTTCCTTGCCCCTCCGCCTTCCGCCAGTTCACGCGCCTCGTTATTTGCGTTGAAGAGCTATGACATTGTTGCTGCCAGGCCAGGCCTCTGAACCAGACTGCGTTTGATTCCGTTTGCGAGAGAGCTGAGGTATTCGAATTTTCTCTTGAATTTTTGTATTATTATCAAGGATATTGTGCCGATTGGAGATTAGTGTTTATTCAAATGAATTTAGGTCGACATCATTTCGATTGATTATTCATACAAGTTGCCTTTCCTATTGAAACAGCCGATGGTTAAAACTGCTTTGGAGTTTTGTTTGTAACTGATTTTTGTGTCTCTGGAATTTCGGTGTGCAGTGTGGAGAAATCACATCTTCTGAACTCTGATCTTGTTATTGTGGACTTTCAATCCAGGAGGAAAATGATATCCAATGCCAAGGTGAGAATCGGGAAAATGTAGCAAAATTTTTAAATGGTTAGACTGCATGCTACATTTAGCATACCTACAATCTCTGATATTTGCAGCTACCATGTTTTAGGTGAAAAAATTAAGGCTGGTGCAATGAAGTAATCCTCGTGTTGTAGACTGTATTGTCATGGTTCTTGTGGTTGGATTGCCGTGTCCATGTTCTTGGATTGCTAGCTTCAGTTAGTTTATTACTAAAATTGGATAAAATTTGTTATGATTCCTTGTATGAAAAGAGATAGTTGCTTCAGCTTGAATATTAGTTTTATTGCATTAAGAGATGACAAGTGACAACTCCATCTAAAATATCTGAGATTAAATGAATGTTTTACTTACCTAGGCAATACACTCATTTCAGATGCTGGTCAATTGGACTGAAGGAAAGAATGTTATCTTCTCTAGTGCTGCACCATCTTTATTTGAACTTAGAGGGCCAAATGATGTTGTAACTCAGCATTATTATTTGGTGTGAATACTGAACGAGCTAAATTGGTTGTTTCCAAAAATTGTAGGTTTGCTGACTTAGAGAGAACCTGGCAATCTTATGAGGGTTGTGAGTTAATATTTCATTTGGTGGAATTTCTTCTTCAGTGTCTTTGCAGGACTCTCATACCTATTGCTTTAAGGAGAAAGCACTTTTTCAAGGAGGCTATCAGAAATGAACTGATTTCATCCAGTGGGAAATGTGATTCTGTGGACATGCCTAAATGGGATCCCATCTCTAGTGGTGAAGGTGATTTGATACTGGAGGTGACATCCATCTTTGCCTCATTAAGGAATTGAAAACCACAAAAAGGCCATTGATTTTCCTTCTCATATTATGCCACATGGTTTCCAAGTGAAGAATCTGATAAGGCAATTGGTGCATCTGTTGGAATTGATGGGATGTCTGAAAGCTACAGCAGGCTTGTTATTCTTGCCAAGTTGAAGAGTCTTCAACTGATAAAACTAACATTTGAGCATCAAACCCCTGTTTTCTTGAATTCTGAAATGTTAGAAAATGAAACATGTAAGTCTTTTTGCTAGGACTGAATATATCTGTTGAAGATAAAATGGGTACCTATTTAGTGTGTGTTTGATTTGAATCCTATCTATATCTGTCTGTGTATGATAATGCTAATTCAGTTTAAGTTTTCTGTGGAATCTTGAGTTTGTTATTATTATCAGCGTGCAATATTTCCTTGTTATATGAAGAGCAGCATATTTGTCAACTTGATCATATTAGCCATTCATTTTGAACCTATCTATTAAATGCAGGGAAGTCTAGAGTGGCAAGATGGATAATTTCTAATCAACTTTCCTTGTCTCCTTTCAGCCCCATCTTGTATATCATGTATCTTTCAACAGGAAAGCTCAAAAATTCATTTGCAGCCTGAATATTGTCTAGCCAATAGCCATCTAACTATATTTTCACGATTGTCCACCTGCACATGGAAATTTGTTGAGTAGAGTGTTTTACCTTACCATCTTTAGAAAGCTGTAATTATTGTAGTTTCTGCTGATTCTCTTCATTGTATTATTATTATTATTATTATTATTATTATTATTATTTAACCTTGAAAGTTATAATAAAACATTTCTCATTGATTTGCTGCAGCAAGTGCCTTCTGCTTGGCGAAACCCATATTAAACAGGTATGATTGGCATGGTATGTAAGTAATTATCTAAGAGTTTTAATTGCAATTGCATATCATTTCAAGTTGCGATACTTGGTCCTACATCTCTCTGCTCCTCATGTGCCGCTGCATATCTTTTTATCTTCCCGTCTACCTGAACATTAGCAATCTAAGCCTAGCATTGGGGGTTATATATATATATTTTGTGCTTAATCATTAAGAAATGGCTTTTTCCAAGTATCAGGGATTTGGCATCTCCTCTGCTTTTGTTAGATTCATCATTCACTCATTCATCTTACCCTATTCTAAAATCACTAGGAAAATGCCTTTGTTCAATCCCCAAAAGCTCACCGAGACTTTCTTAGACATGAATTCTCTGTAAAAAATTATAATTTCCAAACAGAAGGTTCTTTTCCCATGAAAAACTTAGGTAGTAAGTACTTTACAAAGCGAATCGGTTTTTTAGGTTCAATGGTTCAACTCTAAATTTTAAATGTTTGGGTGAGGTGGTCAGAGTTTCGAACTCTGCTACCGTTGTGAACTCCACCAAATACAATTTGATGGCCGCGCACCTCATTTGAGGGGTAGAATGTTCACCCAGTTTGAGAATCGAATCCTCAGTTGCTAATAACTAATTCAAACTAATTTTCTAACCATTACCTTGTCCAAAAAAAAAAAAAAAAAAAACTTTACAAAGCAAAAGTAGTGATTTCGATGAGAATGTAGTGGGTAACCAGCCGCCAGCAAGGGCCGACAAGAATACAGAGAACACCGCCCTTCCACCCCCCCCCCCCCCTAGGGGTTGCCGCATAACTTGAAAAGAGCTGTAGCCTTTAATTGAAGAGAGCGTTCAGTGATAATTTTAAATTTCTACTGCTTGGCCTTTCATTATTAACTAACATGACCAATCAAATGATTAATGATCCTTTTTCTTTGATAAACAAAACAAAATTTATCGCACTTGGGTCTTCGGTCTAGTAACGTCAAATCACGTTTAAGTATATTCTCCCACTCTAAGATAACGATTCGAATCCAGTTGCTTACAAATTTATTAAAAAAATAAAAACAAAACAAAAATTATCGTATGACACATAATTAAGTCACAGTCCAAAAACAGTACTGAGGGGAACTATCAGGATTTGAATACTATAGTGAACACATAAAAAAGTTCTAATGTAGTGACAAGAACTTTTTACCTAAAAACTCAGGTTATTGGGTAAAGGATTCAAATTTCTTTTTCAACTTGAAAAAAATTGTGTAAGATATTTTCCACGAGTAACTTTTCAAGGTCTAACAGTTATCCTTCTTTTTTAGATCTAAAGAGAGATCTTTAACTTTGGCAAGAAGTTGCAACTCAAAAAAGAAACAAAAATGATTGATACCCTTTTGATCTTGATGATGGAATAAAACTTAGACAAGGTGGAATTGAATAGGCTTTAACTAAGGTAGCTAATAGCAGTCCACTTTATGTTGCTTCAAATTCAACTGAAATAACCTTTAACCATTATTGCTCCTAAGGAAAAGAAGAGCAATTCCGAGTGCATTAAGTCCTTTAATTTACGTCCATCATTCCTTCTCAGGACGATGGTGACTGTTACCCTAACCAGTCATCTGTTTCATCATCTTTTTTCTTTGATTTGGACTTTGCTTTTCTCTTTTAAGCAGTCTTTCAACTCATTTATGATATGAAATGTGAATGCTATAGAATATTGGCCATATGAAGTTCAATTAAACCAAATTTTTTTTGGCCTTTTGCAACTCTAATGACCTCCATTCATATTTGTTGCAATGTTGCAAAAAGAGCGCCTAGGCGTCCACTTACGCACTAGGCATAAATTAATATTTTTGGTTAAAATATTAATTTAGTCCCTCCATGTTTAAATTTGTCTCAAAACTTTAAAAAAATATCAAAATTATTTTTAAATCTAAATTTTTAATACCAAAATAGTCTTCAAACTTTAAAAATAATACCAATTTAGCTTTTAAAATTTGAAAATATGTACCAATTTAGTCCTTAAACTTTGATTATAGATATTAATTTGGTCTTTCAATTTTAATTATATATCAATTTTATTTGTAAATAAAAATATATTTTGATAATAAAATATGACTGTTTGATTTTACATATAATTAGTATTTAAGAAAAAAACTAATTTTATGACAAAATAAAAAGTTATATGACACTTTTATTAACAAAAGGACTTTTTGGTATTAAAAATTAAAGTTTAGGGATAATTTTGATATTGTTTGAAGTTGAGGATAATTTTGATATAAATTTGAAAGTTGAGGGATCAAATTAATATTTTAACTTTTATTTTTAAAAAATTTTCTGTTTTATTTTGACCTTTTTACAAAAAAAAAAAAAAAAAACCTCCTAAAGTGCCTAGCAGCACCTAGGTGGCACCTAAGCACCGCTTAAGGCTAGGTGGTGGCTGAATGGCTTCGCCTAGTGCCTTTTGCAACATTGATTTGTAAAAAATTTTAAAAGTCAAATCATTCATATGGTGTAGTTTAAAAAGTGCATATCAAAAAAAAGTTGATTTAACTTCAATACACTTGTCAAGAAGCTTTATTCAAAGAGTACTTTTATAAAAGTTTCAGTTAGAAACAAACTTTAGGACTGTAAGCAATAATGTCATCAAATTACAGTATTTACATATCTAATTTCAAGCTACGAGGTAACTTCAAATTTGCATCACAGTAGTAAAAACATGCAATCATTTAAAAAGATATTGACACGTACTAAGACACTAAACCTAGGCAGAATCATCCATTCATCAATATTAGGGGATCAAATTTGCTGAGAATGAATTCAGAAAATTGACCCAGTTTTCATCTTCTTCCCCTTCTTCCCCTCCCATCCCCTGGCTCCATTGAACCTGGTCAGGAGAAATCTTCTCAATTTCATCATTTCGTGCAAAACGTCCTCTGATTCTTGGTCTGCTGTCTGCCAAGGTTTTCCTACATGCATACTGACAAAGTCATTGTATTCATCAGTACTTGTATTCATATTAATTTGCCGCAATTCAGCAACATATGAATTATAAGCCCTGTCTGTATCTTAATTAAGTGTATGAGTATATATGAATTGAGATTAATGTTTTATCAGTCAGACTTGTAAAAAAATTAGACAAAAAAACACTTCTTAAATTAAGTCAAACATTACTGGAAAATACTAAAGCACTTTTATTTCTGTTTCAAAAATTATTATGTTTTAATCTTTATCAATGAAATTTTATTAAAATTATGTAATTAAAAAAATTATTTAATTTTTTATAATATAAGTTGATACCCAATTTTCAATAATTTTAATTTAAGTGCAAGAAACTTTAAGCTTTGTGCTTTTAGAGACCGTCACTTTTAAAAGAGTTGTAAGCACTACTGGACGATGTAATGCAATATGTATTCATTTCAACTGCCATAGGAAGCTATGATTCCAAAAGCCAGGATTTGATTTATTGCTTGTCTTTTGATGGTAGTGGGGACTCATCATTTCTTATCAGGAGCCCATAAATTCAAAGAATCTATTTCAAAAATGTCTAATTGACTCATGGATTACACAAAAAAGCAAGCAATTTGCTTTTAAAATTGGATGTGACAGACAAACAAGCAACAGACACACACACAGCAGCACTATTCATGCATGTAATGAACTCAAAAATCATGTTTAATTTTCTAAATTAAAAATGTGTTTTAACTTCAAATACTAACCTTAATCTTCTTGTTGAAGTTCCTAAGGTTTCTCTTGCTTCTGTATCTCTCAATCCTTTCCTTCTTTTCCTCAGGGCTGTACCGGCATGCTTTGCTCATACTTTCAATGATAGCATTGCTCTCATTTGACAATGGACTCTCCGACCTGGGGCTATGGTGCAGCATTCTTAAGCCCTGCACACCCAACCAAAAACGGTAAAGTTAAACCCAGAATTATTTATGCAAATTAATGCGTAATTTGTTTAGCATTGTTTCCTTCTTCCTTTCTTTGAAACATTTCGTCAGACACTTAAACAACCTGTTCCAAATCACCGGCACTGAAAACCCTCCTAACCGAACCACCCTCCGAATCAACAAACCCATTATAGCTTAACGCGAAACGGCAATTAAGGCCGTTCTTCTGAAGAGAGTGGCTACTGGCACTCCTGTGCATGAAACAGGGCTTCTGAGAACAGCAACTCACCAGTGAACTGGGCGAGTTGTAGCTGCTGGATCCGCTGCTACTACTGCTCTGAAAGGCTTCGCTCACCGAGTCAAACTCGGTTCCAGCAAGCTGCGGCAGCGGAAAAGTTAGGGACGGGAGAGAGTCGGGCGAGAGAGAATTATCGGAGGCGCGTGGGAAGGTAGTCATGGCGAGTGGAGGCCGGCGGGAGGGGATTTGATTTGATTGGAGTGAAGTGGACAGAGCAGGGAGGAAGGGGGTGTATACTTATATAGGAGGAGATAAGAGCTAGAAGCTGGTGTGGAAATTTTCTTGGCGTGGTGCGTTGACTTGTATTCGCGGTGTTTTTGGCATTGTATAGTTGCATTGATACGAGCACAGGTAACACATCAGCGAATCGATATTATTGGCCTTTGCACTAACTCTACTCCTGAATTGTCTTTTCCATTTATAAATATATAAATATATATATATATTAAATATAAAATTTATACATGATTAAAAGTTTGTTTAATTTAAAATAATATTATATAAAAAACTTCGTTATGGTTTGGTAATTATCTTTTTATTGTAATAAAATTTTAATTTAGGAATTCCACTAAGCGGATTAATGATTGCACGTTTTATTGAAGTTGGTAAACTGTTCATCAGATTTAAGAATTAAATTTGCAGTTGTTAACATTTAACAATACTAATTTACTAATCATTACTCTTATAAAAAAAATTTTTATATTTAGTGGTGTTGGGTTCAAGTTTTACTTATTCAAAAGAAAAATTATATAATTCAAATTATATTAAATTATATAATTATAATTGTTAAATAAATTTTTTTTAAATATTTAATATAATTTATACTCCTAAACATTTAGACGGTAAATCCTTGAAAAAGTGAAGAAATAATAAATAATAATAAAGAAAGAAAGAGAAACCATATAGGCCCTCAATTAAATAGGTAGTCTCAGGTATGAGTGAGTTCTGAAACTCAAGTCGCTTTCCCCTTTTCTTCTTTCACCTAGTCAAAATCGTTACTGGTGAAAAGGATTGAACGTTTGAGTGTATACGCCGGATATAGTTAGTTGGCACACTTACTAACATTTGTTGATATTACTAAGCCAACGATTCATTGGCTAATGCTTTTGAATACTAAATGTAAACACCCTTAAAATGTCCTTTAAATAATATGAAATTGTATTTGAAGTAAAAGAAATTATTCTACTATTAGAAAGTAAAGAAATTATTAATCTAGATTAAGGAGCCAAAGTTCTGTTATTAGAAAATATTCTACTATTTGTGTTAAATGGTGTTATGTGAAGCAATAAGAGCTTCATATATACAAGAAAAAGGGATCAATGAAGAGTCTTCACTTATATGAAGTAGTGGCCCTATGTACTATATTTCATATTTGGAAGGCATGCTTAGAATACTGCCTCCCGAAGGAGGATATATACCCAACTTGCGTTTGACAATATGCAAAAAGAGAATACCCCACCACTTTGTGACATGGGAACCATTTTTTAACCCACTCCAATGTGAGCACCATATAATAGCACATATATAGTTCCAATAATTTACAATAGGTTAAGAGTAAATTATAATTCCTTAATCATCACTAGAATGAGAGTTTCTTCTTCTCATGTGTTACAATTTGGGCATCTTCAATTCTTCATCACAATTAGAATGACCCTATCTCATTACTTTCCTTATTTGGATTCCCAAACTAATTCCCATTCCAAAGTTGGGGTTTCCTTTCTCCCCTTCCCCAAGGATTATGATTTCTTTGGTGACAATTGATTATCTAGGTTTCTATAGTTTTGTGTCATGGACCATACTAAACATATGTCATTGTTCTATTGACAACCACATATATAAGCAATGAAGCTAGCACATGCAATTAATGTAGTAAAATAATGATTGATATACCTTCCAGTTTAATATACCTATTAACACTCATTAATTCAGTTATTAAATTTTGCAAATGAAAATTTTCCCATCTTAAATTTAAATTTGAAAGTAATAATTTTGTAATGAATATATTATAAAATATGTTGTGAAATGTATTAAAATTGAAGGGTATACCAATTATTGTCCAATGCAATAAGTTGAAATTCAATAATTAGCTTTGATAGAAAAGTAGAGACTTGAATCATTCAATTAGCTTGGAAGAATTTAAGGGTTGGGGATTTAGATCCATATGCTTGACTCGAATGTTTCATGAATGATGGAAGCATTGACAATAGCTGTGGAACAAGAGAAAGTAGGGACCGCAAAAGCATCTTCATATATTCTTTGATATTGTAGGTCCACGGGAATCATCAATATATATCACTTCAAAAATATTGATCGCCATGAAGACTGGAGCTTGGTGCACCATGACTATGTAAAGAAACCAAGTGTTCCAAGACGTTTCGTTCCCCAGTTGTTAGTTAAGTAGTAGCGGTGGCCAGATGCCGGCCAACTAGGAAAATCCCAACGTGATGTACCATCACCATGTCCTAGGCCAGGCCAGGCGGACCACTAATATGTATATTCTCCCATATAAAATTATGAAATATCGTGATACCAGTTTATGCATGCTAGATTCCATTAAGCCCTTCTTAGATCCAATCAAATATATGTTGTTCACGTCAGAAGCAATTGGTTCCTAAGGCATTATTTTCTTATTATCTCTCAAATCCCAACTACACTAACTAATTAACTTTTGATGGTTTGGGGCAGTTGGCTTTAACCTGCTTAGAGGAGCGGACCGGGGAGCAGGGTTCAAAGTTCAAACCTCTGCCTCATGTGGACGCTGAGTGTTAAGGCACAGGGGGCTGGCCAACGCAGCCGCACAATGGTCCACACTTTATTAACTAGTAACTATTACTCCTACGTGTAATCCGTATATAAGTAAAGCTTTCACTCAGGAGCTAGGTATAATATAATCAAATTGGGTATTTATAATCTTGTATGGAGGAAATTAGAAAGGCATCTTGAGTATCCAAGTTATACTAATTAAAGTAGGAAAATGATGCATGCCTAATTGCCTATATATATTTATCCTATAACTAGGCAATGATGCTCTCTTTCTTGTGTGGAACGTGGGTGTGACCCAAGACCCTACCCTGTAGCATCAACCAAGACTAGCCAGCTTAATAGTTTTCCCTGCAATAAGTAATTCTTTGACCAATTATCCTCAATGTGAACTACTATTTGACAATATGGCATGGAGGATTTGTTTCTCCTATTATTAATTAACATCTGATTTTAAAATTTGTGTAAAGTAATTTTCTCTTAAATGGTTTCTTCTTGAACGGACCAAAACACAGGTGGTTTTAATTTGATAAGCAGGCAGTAACTTAAATTTTAAAGCATGTTGTTGTTAAACAATATTTTTTAGTAGTACAAAAAAAGAAAAAGAAAAAGAAAGAGAGAGATGGAGAGAGAGACTGTGGAAGCAGCTTTCCAAAAGTGGTAAGATTAGTTGATTTCAAAAGGCATGATATTTACATGTTTTGGATAGTCAACGGAGGATTTTTATTTTTGGGATGATGGGCTATATATAATATGATAGTTCTTCCCTTTAAAAATTTTTTTTTTTCATAAATTTCAAGATTTAAATTTATAATTTTTAATGTGAAAAGTCAAACTTTTAATAAATTGAAACGTTTGTTAGTAGATAGAAAATCACTAGTCAACTTGGAATTTTAATTTGTTGAATATTGCCCAAAAAGAAACAAAAATCTGTTTAGGGTTGGAACAAGTCGTTTTTCTTACATTTATCCATCCACAATCCCTTAAAACTAGGCGGTTTTACTGCAATAACATGACCCATTTGCATATTTTATCAGCAATATTGGTAGGTAATGCAAGTAAATTTCTTGATAGGTAAAATATTAGTAGCAAAAACAAGAGTTTGATGATCTTCCACTCATGATGATTTCAATTTGTCCCTTAATCTTTTGACTTCTATCTAGCATACTTAAAAGTTTGATTAATTGTTAACAATTTAAGTAATTTAGTGATGATATATAAGAGATTATGGGTTCGAATTGTAAATATGCTAGTGATAGAAGTAGAGGGTTGAAAAAAATTTCACTTTTTATTATATAATTTAAAATTAAAAAATAATTAAATCACCATCAAAATTAAAAAAGTTTACCACTGTTTTTTATCTTTTAAAATTGAACCTTTATAAGTGAGAACGGAACATTTCTTACAAACCAAGACAAACCTTTGGGTTAAGAAAAATGATTCCGACGAGGCCACAAGACTTGTCAAGTTACTCAGCAATTAATTAATGAAGATGTACCTAGGCAATCCTAGATAACATCAATCAAAGAAAGTGGTGCTGGTGCATGTTAGTTGTCTGGCTAAACATTAAAAAAAAAAAAAAAAGGAAAAAGAAGAGGAAAAAGAAAGATGACAAGAATCACATCTAAGAGTCTTGTCCTTCTGTAGCTAGAATTCCCACATCAAAGGTCACCTCCAATCCAAATGCTAGCAATTCAAGCCCATTGTCATTTCACTTGGTGGGAAGTTGACAAATAGTATGAAGATGTGAGAAAATGCCCCTTTAAGATAAGGCACAAGGAGCAATACAGTCCTTTTCGTGTGGGCAATTTCATGAAAACAAGTAGAAGGAACCTAGTGTTCCCTAAGTAATCAGTTATCTTGGATGATTTTAGTGGAGGACTGTTTGACCCTTAATTTGACATACACACATCCAAGTAGTGAAGGTCAACTTCAATGTATTCTTGTTTCAGTTGGTTAGGTCTTTAATCATGGTTCAGTGGTTATCATCTCACCTTGGCAGGCATGGCCGGTGCTTCTTTTGACCCCAAAGAAGACTCTGCAGCTACGCGTCGCTGCACTTATCGTTATAGAATCATTGCATTTGATTTGCTTCTATTGTCTGTATGTGGGGAATTGTAGTGTATAACGGGAGAAAATGTGAAAATCAAAATCTAACCATGCATCTCCTATTCACTTTTATCAATTTGCAAAATATTACATAATTTTATTGATGATAGAAGAACAATACAACCCAGGATCTCTCTAATTTGATTTTAATTTATATGTTTAATGAAATAAATTAAAAATAAACACTAGTGGGAAAATTCTACAGGAACGTATTTTATTTTTTGAATTACATTATTGATAAAACAAGAACTATTGAATGAAAGAGGATCCTTAATATCAAAAATCTCAATCTCTATTTAATAATTAATGTTATGCAGTTTAATACAGTTCAAATTGCACAACATTTTTTTTTTCAAATTCTATAGCAAAAATTATTAAAGGAAATGACCTAAATTATTAGACTACGTGTATAATAGGGTAAATGGCCTTCCACATCTTCTTCTTCTCATTCCAGCTATCAAAACCAAAATTGGTAACTCTGATGAGGCACGTATCCTTGCAGTTGTCTACACCCTTGTTGGAATCATACAATACATAAGGTCGTTCATGGTAATAACCATGTGAATAACTATTATATGTTCCCACACACAACACTGAATTGGCGTGTGGAAAAGTGATTGAAGTTTGATTCCCAGGGGCAATACCAATTGCTATTTGGGACGACAAATTCAGGTCACATGTGACATAGGCCATCTTCCCTGGCTTTCCTATGTTGCTCACAACCAAAGGTGCAGCAGTAACAGAGTGCCATAATGCAAATAGTGATAGCATTGCTATAGCCATGCATAGCCTAAGAGTCCTCATGGTATCCTAAGGATCTTTATGGTGTCTCTCTTCCCAGGTAGAATCCTAGCGCTGCTTTTAAATGTAACTTGTTTCAGTTGTTTGGGAGTTACCATGTGGGAGCTTAATTAATTGCCCTCCATGAACGTTGGTGAAAGACAATTAATTGCATTGATTATGAAGTTTACTAGTAATACCAGTTGTAAAAAGGACAAACCCTTCTCCTGATGTCTTACCCCTGTTTTCTTTTTCAATTTTTTAGCAGATTGTGTTAGAATAAATAAAATTGAGACTATCATAACTACTTAAGTAATTTAGTTTTTTTTTTTTAGTAGAATTAAAAGGTTTTAAGTTCAAATTACATAATATGTAGTTGAGATGAGTTAAGAAAAATTGAGATTTGCCACCATGATATATTTGCATGAACCGGTGAATAATTGACAGGAACTCTTTCAGTTTAACCAAAAGTCTTGATTTTAAGACTTGGGAATGTAACTCTGTTAAAATTGAGAGAATTTTATTACCCGTTGAGTCCTGTCCGACTCGAATCCGAATTAATCAATGGTCTAGTGGGTTCCTGAATATTGGGTGGTCCAAAAAAAAAAAAAAGATTGATTTTCATTGTGGAATCTAAAATTTAAAAAAAATAAATAAATAACAACAACAAAATTGAGATTATTTATGAATCCATATGCTACATATTCAAATTACATTAATGATTGTTACAGGAGTATAAACAGAGATATTAATATAGAAAAAAGGTCACTGTAAACATTTTTAAGTTATTAAACATTTTCAACTATTTTACAAACTTCTTGAAAGAGCGAGTACTTTAACTAATAACAGTTCTCAGACATTGATAACCCTATTATATCCATAAAATTACCATTCCTAAAAGAGGTTAGTACCTCCATGGTATACTAGCCCAAGCCATCTCCACTTTGTTGCCAACTAAAACCATCTTAATTTTCCCAAGTTACTGTTAGTATTTTTGCTAAGGGAGAGGCAGTCTTAAGTTTCTTGTTAAAATAATTATTAGCTCTATTACCTTAAATAAAAAAATAAAATAAATAAAAACACACGAAGCAGAAGTTAATGTAGACATTTTCTTTTAAAATTTTTGCTCTCATTGATTTCACTTTTGAAAAGAATTATATGGCTTTACTCTCCATTTTCAATCGACAATTCATGCATAGGGAGTCAGACGGCCCATGTGATGTTGTAAGATTTGAAATCAGGCCGAGTATGGAAAGAATATGAAACTGTTAACAATATGGGCACATCTGACAACAGACCAACTAAACAATTATTGAAAATTGAACATAAGTAAACGAATTTGAAGTGCAACAGAAGGGTTTGAAAAAACTCAAAAATGGGTTAAAAAAATTCAGTCTTCAGGATTTAGGCAGTGTTTGGTCAGATTGAATTTGGATGTCAGCATTTAGGAAGATCAGCTGGTGGAGGAAGCAGCTTTTGATTAGGAAGCTTTCCATCCAACACAATCCAAGCCATCTTCAAACCCCAGCTTGTGTGCACTTCCAGGTGACAATGCATGAACCATACTCCTGCATATATTAACTCAAATCAGTAAGAGCATGTTTGGTCAAAAAACAGCCGTTGTAGAAGTGCATCTGTTACGAAAGCTTATGAGAAAGGCCAAGAGTCCTTTGAAGGTTATGTCTAACGTTCTTTTCCCTTTTACCTACCTGGATTGTCTGCCAAAAAACGAATGGCCACCCATCCTCCGGATGGCACGCCAACGGTGTTACGTTCAACAGGGTCAACAAGGTTGAAGCTTTTGGGGTCCTTGTTGGGGTCAAAGTTCCCAAATCCTTGTCCAACCACAAAGAAATTGAAGCCGTGCAAGTGAAGAGGATGACTCTCAGCTCCTAGAATACTGGTGTCCTGCATCACTAACTCTACACTAGTGTTAAAAGGAAGCACCACCATCTTCGTTCCATTGCTCACCATGGTGTTATTAGGTGGAGTGCCTGTATAATTGAACGGAATCACTGGATCGCTGGGGAAATCAGTGGTGTAGATGCTGTATGATTGGCCAGAAAAATGAGCTTGTAGTAAAGCTGTAGTTGGCATTGCAAAGGATACATTGTTAACAGATGCTGCAAACATGGTTCCATTAGGCCCCTGGCATGTCTGATTGCCTTTACATGGACTTGTCCCTAGACCAATGGTGAAGAAGAACTTCTTATCAACCTTCTGGGGTACATTAGCTGGAAATTGTGGGTTATTTAAGCTTCTGAGTTTATTCGTGAATTTCATCGCAAAGGAAGTGTCATTTAGAGCAGGGAGGATTGGCTTAAATAGGGGATGTTTCTCAACGGAGCTTCTTGGATGGAACTTATTAGGTGGTTGTTCATATTCTAGAATACCAGCAACTGTAGAATTGTCAAAAGTGCCAAGGCCTGTGGCATAAGGTCTAGCAGTCATGAAGAAGGAGGCCTTAGGGTAATGGGGTTTGGTCTTAAGAAGCACATTGGTGGTCTGTCCAGGTGCAATCAGGATGGTTTGTGTCTCAAATGGTTTGACATAAAGAGCATCAGCTTCAACAACAGTGAGGCTGTGCTTTGCTATGCTGAAGAAGAGTTCATCATTTAGTGCAGCATTGATTAGCCGCAGAAGGTATGTTTTTCCAGGCTTCACCTTCAATCTAAATGTATCTGCAAACATACGTTTATATATTCAGAGTTGGACCAAACATCTGCATTGTGTAAAAAGTAGCTTTTTAAAAAAATATATTTTTTGTAATTCGCATTACCTTTGGCAGAACAGTTATAGAGAGGCCCTGGAAGTCCATTTATGGTATATGCATCAGATACATTTGGGCCTCCTCCTGTCTGGAGAGCTTGGCTGATGATTGCCTCAGGATCTGCATTGAACCATTCCCCTGCAATTCCACCGCTATAATGTTAATTATGTCATGAAAATGGTATCTAGAAAATGGATTTAACAACTATTTCTCGTTAATTACCAAAGATGATTGGGACTTCCATGTGGGGTTTGGGGAATGGGTAGGGGACGCCGCGTTTGGGAAGGATAATGAAGGGACCATGGACGGTAGCTCTTAGCCATGAAATATGGGCATGCCAGAACAGAGTTCCTCTCTGTCCTGTAATGGTGAAGTTGTACACATAACTCTGTCCTGTTTGTATGGGGCACTGAGTCACATATGCCGGTCCATCTGCCCATCCAGTTCGAAGCTGTCTAATGCCATGCCTATTCGTTGCAAAGAAATTCAGATCATTACATTTTTAGGACAATGTTGAACAATAAAACATGTTACATGGTCTGAAGTGAAGGTTCCTCTCCTACCAATGGATTGACATATTGTTGGAGACATGGTTAACCACTTTTATCAGAAGCTGATCACCTTCCCTTGCGACAATGCGAGGCCCTGGAAACTGTCCATTCACCAACACAATACTCTTTGTGTGGCAAAGCCGCGTCACGTTTTGTAACTTGATCTACAAGACAATGCATCAAACAATGAATAGAATAATGAAATTAACTAAACTACATCTTGGTGTTACCATTATCTTCTTAATTCCATATTAAAGATGAGCACATACATCAAACTTGTAATGCCTGGTGATCCCAAGTACAGGTTCAAGATGGAGACTCAAGACGATAAATTGCAAGAAAAATGCACCAAAAATTGCTGCTGATGGAAGAACAGAAGCACCCATTTTCCTGTTTCTATTTCTCTTTTATCTTTTCTACTTAGTTTTTGGGTACATATTCATCAAAGTCTGTAAGGTTGAATTTATATAGAGCAAAGTGAAGGGTGTTTGGTTGATTAGGTAATGGAAATTCTCTGTTTATTTCAGCTATCCTCATTACAACTTTGACATGACCAGTTGTTAGAACAACTTTAGAGTGCTATCAAAGACAATCAACATATCTTGTTTTTCTTTTGACCATCTTTTTCTTCAAGTCAAACTAAAATCCTCAATCTCTCCCTTCCTATTTTGATACTTACATTCTATGACCAAATTTCAGAACTTCACCAAAAAAATAGTCAATTTAAGTTTAGTATTCAATGTAAGTTGGTGTTAATCAGTGCTCAAAACATGTCGAAGTGTCACTACTGATGCAGGTGAATCAAGTTAGAAAAAGGGAGCTGTCAAGAAGCCATTGCTGCAAGAGTAGGGCAAACCTCATTTGCCGCAACATTGCCTCAAGCAAACATAGAACAACATAAGCTTACGTACAAAGGGATATATCAACAAACATTAACAGAAGAACATAAGCTTATGTACAAAGTAATATATCAACAAACATTTATTTGGCTTGATCAGAAATGCAAGGAATGTGTGATTTGATCTATAGTCGTATTCACAAGTGCATTGCTGTACGTACATTGTAGTTGTACCAACTGTGAAGTCTCTAGATGAAATTTTATATATATATATATATATATGTGATTACTGTTTGTTCGTTTACCTCTTAAATATTAAAAGGAAAATCACCTCAAAAATATATAATTTTAATAAAATACTATAAGAAAATATAAAAAATACTTTAATTCATGTTTTTAAAATATGATATTTTAATCTTTTTTAATAAAAATTTATTGAAACGATATAATTTTAAAGTAATTTTTTTTTTAATATTTAAGAAATAAGATAGATAGACATTATTCTCTTTATATATTCAAAGCAAGCTCTCGGAAATTTTGAGGCAGGCCCAAGTTTTTTGGGTTTTTCTTCTGCCTCCTGAGTTCAGCTTTAGTCAGAGTTCAGGTTATTGGGCAACTTTCATTTTGGTCCGAATATAAACCTCACATTTTTTTGTTTAAAAGGCCATTGACCTTGAGAAAGCTATTAAGCTTATGGGCCTTCGCTTTCGACAACGTAGATTCTACATTTTTACCCCACTTCGTTTGGGGTGATGAAGATCAATGTCGTGTGAATGGTAACTTGTTTTACTCGGATTTACTAATACGCCCCTTCATCGTCTTCTTTAATTCTCCATAAATTCAACTTTAAATATTGTATTTATTAATAAATAAATATTACTTAATCATAAGATTTAAGGTTTAAATTTTGAAATCAATATTTTTTTTATGGTGAAATCAATACTTAAATAAATTAATTTCTTTAAATATATTAAGTTAATGTTAATGGCATACTCTTAAAATTGTTTAGGAAGTTCTTTAAACTTATAGAAATTCCCTAAGTTCCCAAAAAAAACTTAGGGGAGGACAAGAAGAGGTAATTCCAAAAGGAAAAGTAAAAGCTAATTGTACTGCACAGGGAAAGGAGGCAGAAGGGGAAGTTAAAGGGTAAAACAAATATTCTTTTCGCTTTTATAAAGCAAAATGGGTATGAGTAAAAGGGAAGGTGTTTATCCATTCTCATAAATTGGGTTAGGAATATATATAACCTTTTTAGCTGCAAGCAAAGAATGATTTTATATCCGTAAGACTATAAATTTCATTTAGAGCTTTGCTTGACTGTTGATGCTAATTCTAATTAGTGCCTGTATGATGTAACTAAAGTTTTTAATAAGAGTTCTGTAAAAAAAAAACTATTATAAAAATATTATTTTTGTAAATAAAAAAATAAAGATAAAATAATAATATGTTAATTTCATTAAAATACAAATGAAAAACTCCTACAAAAACACTAATTTGGTGCTTCTAAAATTTGTAATGAAATAGACAAAAGACAAATTTGTGAAAAGTTGTAATATTTTTTACAAATTATAGTATTTAATACAGCTGGAGTTTCTGAAATCCAAAACAACTGAAATTTTTAGAGTTAAAATGGATTTTTCACCAGCTGTACAAAACATACCCTTAAGCCCTTAAATTCTTGTCTCTAAGCTTGAAAAAGTAATGCCATTGAAGAATCACAAAGGACCTATCTTTGCATGTTGCCTATCTTTCCTAGCATTACTAGCTGCCGGTCAAAAGAAGAAGCTAACGAACTTCACATTCCTTATTATTTGTTACACTCATTTATATTATAGAAATCGAAATATTTGAATTTAAAACTTTTCGAGAAAAGAACAAAGAATAACAAATGGAAGATTAAGTTGAAAATTTTAACGTGGGGCTTAACACGGGCTTTGCTATATTGTGGCTCATGTATTATAGGAAAACTGCACCTATGCTGTCACAATAGAAAAAAACATGCACCAAGGGTGCTGAGACCTCAAACCATGTGAGCCTAAGATTTAGTGACACAAAATCTAATGACATCTTAGACCCAGCCGCACATGCTTTCCTGGCAATTATTAATTCTTCCGCTGTTTTCTTGTTTCAATTTGCTCAAATTTTTATTTAATAAAAGTGAAATGCTATACTTTTTATGCCAACTATACTTTTTTTTTTTTAACAAATTCGTAAAGAGTTGGATTCAAACTGTTACCTTGAAGGAATAAGAAATACACTTATACGTAACTTGACGTCACTGAACCGAAGGCCAAGTGTTATACTTTATTTAACTATTAATAAAAAAAAAAATTTATTTTGATATTAAAATCCAACCCCTCTATTAATAATTAATTGTTAACAACAATCCCTTTCTCTATAAGTAGTTACCACCAGCAAACTACTGTTTATAATTTCGTGACAAAACTTAAACGAAAATAAGTACAAAAAAGAGAAATGCAGAAAAATGGTTTTGACTTTAATTTCTTGTGTTGAAAGTAATATACGTGCAGAGTGTGTGAATTGATCTGTACAGTTTTAAAATTTGAAAAACCCCAAGTATATTCAAAATGGGAGTTGTTGATTTAATTTTAGAAGTTCTCCTTATGAAATTGGAACTTTGTTGACGATTCTAAGTTGAATTCTTTGCAAAGTTTCTTTAATGGTTTTGTAAGTGTAGCACTTCCACAGTAGAACACACCTGCAAAAAATCATCAGATAAACAAGAAATCCGAGTGCAAAAAACCAAGTCTTTGAATTTTTTGGGGAGGTTTGTGATGGATGATTATTATTTTTTGGGTAGAAAAGTTCAATTCCCTTTAAATAATATCTTGACTTTTAGTATTGTGAATGGAGAAATTTAATAGGTTCTGATTCGGTTCAATTCTGAATTTGTGAACCCAATGCAATTATCGGATATGGAAAGTTTAGTACAAAAAAAAAATTATTGTTTATGTTATACCTATTCGAGAAGATTGATGGGTATTAGCCAATCCTGAGAAAACTTTCCTCCAGTTGGGTCTAGCGAAATGGGTTGTTATCTGTGAAGGATACTTGTTAGATGAAATGCCTCAGAGAAAAGATGAAGTGTTTTTCTAGGATGGAAATGAATTACTCGACTCTCTGAGAAGATATCAAGTCCATTTTTGGCCTGCTGAATCTTTTGCACCATTTGTATCAGTGCTGATCGGGCATCTCCTTCCGCATACACACTTGTCAAGTAGTTATGCATCTCTATGACTTTCTGTGCAACAACCCAAAAAGCCAAATTCAGCTTGAAGAACCAAGATGAAGAACCGAATTTTGGAGCGATATTTGAGATTCTTACATTTTTATCAAACTCTGCAATGTCATTCATGACGCCTTTAAACCATTCGAAGGACCCTTGTTCTCTAGTAACCCAATAGAAGTAGGCTCTTTGAGGGTACCTTTTCTTGGGCTTGATGGAAGACATAACAGAGTCTTGATCCAGTGGTAGGAGTGTAGGTCTTGATTTAATAGTAAAACAACCCTGATCACATGTTGCCATGCAAACTGGCATTTTATTTTCTACTGGACTCACAGTCAAGGGCCCTCCGGGCTTGATGTGGCTCAAAAGATCTTTGATGATGCTAATGAATGGGGTTGCCCCAATTCCCAGGCCAATTAGCAAAAGAATGTCATACTTCTTATAATCTTGAGCTGGGGCTCCATACGGTCCCTTGATGAAGATTTGAGGAAACCTGAAAAGGAAAGACATGATTGAGAAGAAGCCATGATAATAAAAGAACTTGATGAAATTGTCTCACATTGCTACTGCTTCTGTATTGTCTTTTTCTGAGTTTGATTTTCTGATATCTCTAGTTTCCATTCTCATTAGGTTTCCTCGTTTTGGTTCCACAGTTAGAGGCTCACAGACCTGCATTTCTTTGAGTTTGATTGCATAGAGAGAAAAGAAAAGGGAATGTGACGTTCATTGGTCAGATTTGGTCACCTTTGCGAATATTTTCCTGAGTGCTGTAGTCCAGTCTCCCAGGGTTCGAATATGGACACTCAAGTAGTCATCTTTTGGAGCAGAAGTGATTGAGAAGGGATGCCTACAGTTACATGGGAAACAATGTCTCTTTGGTATGGATAATTTTTTCAAACACTCCATGAGTAATTAAGTGTTTGATTCTGTATACCATTCAAAACCTGATAAATCTGGACACTTGACAAACAGATACATCCCACTTTTGTACTTAAATCCTGGAGGCTTTGTCATGTACAATGCCAGAACATTTCCACTATATATCACTGCCTGTAATTTCCAAAAAAAAAGAAAAAAAGACAGAAAGAAAAAAGGATGAATATGATTCATTATTATGGATTTGTGACTAGATAGAGAAAATATTGAAAAATATAAGGTTTGATACGACTAGATAGAGAAAATATTGAAAAATATAAGGTTTGATACCTTAATGACGTTTACTTGATGCTTCTGCTCTTGTTGTGTCGTTAATAATCTCTCACTTGCATATAGAATCAATGGAACAAGAACATATATCCATGTCTGTAGAGGATTTATGGAGTTTATTAGTTTTAATCAAGAATGATTTTGGATAATTAATTTGATATCTATGGCTTGTTACCGTTTTCAAATACCAAGGTTTTGGGAGCATGAGGAAGTAACCATGCAAGATCAGGAGGACATAAGCCAAGACTAACAAATGGTGAGCATACCAGAAGGCATTGAAGCCAGCCAAATTGTTAAGCGGCCATGGTAACTTGATGACGTTCCTTCTAAAAGAGTGTGTCGCTAGTGTGAATGAAAATCCCATTATGATGATCATAAGAACCCCAGTAATGCCTACTGTATTATACATTAGGTCCCCATAACTTGGCTGCTTGTGGCCAAAGACAGGACCAACAAATGCCATGAATTTATCCCTGGGGCATGAAGACAGTTTTGGATAATTGCAGACAAGGTGCATTATGGTATGTATGGCAGTCCAAATTGCTATTACCAAGGCTATTAACTTATGGAAGTTTATATTGTCATCAAAAGGGATTAATTTGTTGAGAAATGATTCTCTGAGCTTAGTAAGAGTTCGTCGGCATACTGGGAGTAGGATGAGAGCCATGTTAAACTTAAGTGCCTCAGCAGAACCCTTGGCAATGCAGACACAAAATCCTGTGATTTGGTATGTGCTTGACCCATAGAATTCATAGAATTTCCAATAAAAAAGGAACAAGTTTATGAATAACCATACTGAAATCACCCATATTCTCTTCCAGTAATCATTTAGGAAATCTGATGTCATTGTTAAGTATTTGCTTATTGGATTTCTGTATCTTCTTGGGATCATTGCTTTTGCTAGGGATTGTGTTTTCTTGTTCAACTTGGTGTTATCATCAGAAGCTCCCAATCCCCTTAATAAAACCTCCAACTGCCATATCTGTTTAAAAAGGGAAACAACACTTCAGCTGTAAACAAAAATATGTAGAAAATTGGCCAAATGATTCTGACCTCTATGTAACCTAGATGATCTGGATCAAGCTCTTCCATGATCAAACTAGCATATGTTGTTGCTTGCTCCTTAAGTTTTCCAAGCTTATTCGCAGAGGCACTCAATGCTATGATCTTTTTGCATGACAATCATAGGAAATCAGATTTATATTTACATGTAAAAAATGAAGGAGAATATTAAAGGTTATGTTTTCTCACCTCTTTTACCTCTTCCTCTGATAGTTTCCCATCCCCGTTCTTGTCACACCTAAATACTCACCATTTTCACTTATTTCTAGAATTTTTGTTATTAGGTAAAATCATATAATAGATGTAGAAGATAATAAGTTCTTACATATCAAAGAATATCTGAAGCCGAGAATCAAGATCTCCACTAGTCAATTCTTGCCAAAACAATTTTAGCTCATCCTTGGTAATCCCATTTTCTGTGCTTATTCCTCTTCGTCTTGCTATTGCATCAAACACTTCCATTGCAAATTCCTTTGTATCACCCATCCCTATTAAAAGGAAAAGAAAAAAAAAAAGGTTGAAGATCACAGTATGCCTTTGATTTTAAATGTAAAAGTTACATCCCAAAATGTTTTTGCATTACCTACACAGACACCAAATTTATCTTTAGGGAGTTTCCCATTAATGGCATGTTGGTTAAAACGCCTCTCAATGGATTTCCAAGAATCATTTTCATTTCCAGCAGTTGTTTGATCAAGGAACCGTAGACTTTGAAGCCCTTTCGTGGCAGAAGAGGTGGTCCTCTGCATCCTAGGAATGTTTGGTGGCCCAGCACTTCTCTTCCTAGCACTGCTCATGAGTCTTCTGAAAGATTGCATCTTGGAACCAATCCTACTCATGGCTTGCCCTAAGGAGGCACTTGAGTTCCTTTGATATCCTGCATCATGAGTGGATGAAGTACTTTGATTCCTGCTAACAGGTATCCCAATAGAAAAAGTGCTCGAAAACCTTTCGGAAGGTGAAGGTACATTGTTAACATTGTTAGGAATGGTTGTTTGATGATCATTGTTTAGAGGTACATCTTCCAATCTATCAACACGAATGCCTTCAAGCATCCATTTTCTTGACTCTTCTTTGGTTGTAATTGAATCCTCTGATTCTTTCTTCGAAGTCATGATTGTTCTTGAACTTGGTATGAAATTTGGATGAAGGTTTCTTTGACCTTTTTTCTTTTGAAAGGAAAGATAGAGAGGGAAGAAAGGTGAAGTAATGAAATGGTCAAACATGTTCACAAAGAGGAAAGAAATGGACGGTTTAACTAGTTATGTTGAATTTCCAAAAATAAGAAAGGTTATGAGCCTATTAAGGACTACAATCTCTAATAGAATAAGAGAAACTGAAAAAAAAAAATATTTAATTTTGAGAATTAAGTTTAACCCAAAAAATTCTTAACATTGACACTTTTAATATTTTTTCATTTTTCTATAAATTAAAAGGTTCTCTTTTATTATTATTATTACGATGATGATGTACAAAAGTTCTTTTTTTGTATGGTTATGATTTATCCACATTTTTTACTTACCTTTTAAATGGTTTATTGTAGCATGTAAACATTAAAGACAATGATAAAGCGGACGATTTTTATGAGACAAAAGTAGAGGACCATCTACGTAGCAAGTCCAAATTAATCATTTAAGTTGATTTATATAACGAGTGGATTATGTGCTTATCTACATAACAAGCCATGCAGATGGTCCCCTAAAATCATCTCTCAAAAATCGTTTCCTAAATCATTGTCCAAACATTAATACCTTTGAATCCTTTTTCAGTTTGATGTCATGATTCAGTTCTCTTGCCTCCAGACACCAGTGCCAGAGGTAAGGTCAGATTTCTGTCCTCAAAGAGAAACGGCCTTCATTTGCATATTTTGGCTTGGATCAGGCTGTTTACTTAAATTTCCATAGTCTACTACCATAGCAAAACCATCTCTATTCATCACATGGTTGAACTCTGATTCATACCATGTTTCAGTATTCAAAAACCAGATTACTACAATAATTTCTTCACATAAATTATGAGTTTTTTTAATCTATGTTTGGTAAGTGCACTAATTACACTAAAATATAAGTTTATTCACACATAAATCATATGTAGAAAAAATACATATCAATTTCAATTTTAAAAAATAATTAGTCTTAACATTAAATTATATCATTTTATTTAATTAAAAATTAATTTAAATTTTAAAAAATTATTTTATTAGATGTTGATATATTAAAATATATAATAATTTTTAAATTTAAATATTAACATTTAATAATATAAAATTTTAATTTTTAAATATAAATTAAGATACTAATTATTTTTAAAAATTAAGAGCAAAACACACTAATCACATCATTCTTATTATATTTATATAAAATTCTAATTATTTATTTATTAACTTTAAAATTTATAATAAATTAAAATTTTATATAAATATAATACATAAAATTTATATATAAATAAATCCATCACTTTTTTTTTAGTAGCGGGCGGATCTCGGCAGTCGGCAAAGGAATATAGGCAGCAACCTCCCGAATTCTATTGGTGGGTTTCCAAATTTCGGGGCAGTGCCAAACGCTGTCGTTTTGATTCGCCCACGCGATACTCTTTTTTTGCTTTTTTTTTTTCTTCCCTCATTTACCCTTGCTCTTCATTTTTCCCATTACTTTTTGTTTCTTTTTCTTCCCTTTTCTCTTTTCTCTTTTCCCTTTCATTCACTCTCCCTCTTTTCCTGCCCTGGCTCTTTCCGTTCGGTGAAAAGGATGGGATGGAACCGACGACGCTGCTGTCTCCGGCGGCTGGATTTCCAGAGCTTCGATCTGGCATTGGAGCCAAGAAATTCGGACTACAGAGCAGTGGCAGCGCTATGTTATCTTGACACTCTTCAGCTCCGATTAGGTGCCTTGGGCATCGGGTCGATGTTCAACACTTCCATGGCGACGAACGGTGCCTGGAGGACAGATCAAGCACCGCTGAGTGCCAGATCGGGCTCAAACATAGAACCGAAACCCTAGGGCTTCATGGACCGGATTCGTTTTCAAGGTGCCAGCAGGGGTAATGAGGCCCTTGGACCTGTCCTTGGAGCCATGATCCAAGCGGCTGCCCTCAATTTTCTCGGATTCTTGGACTCTTTCGATCCCTCGATCTCGCACTTTCCTCTGGTAACAATAACTTATTCCTTAATTCTCAGCTATTAATCTGTGATTTTGAGACCTATTGCGTTGATTTCCCCTGAAATAAACATAATCTCTCAAAATCTATTGTATGTGTATTTCTCTCTGGTTGCCAAGAAACTTAAAGAAGGATGATGTATGATTTTTACGTTTTGTGTGGTTTTGATTTTAGTTGTTGAATGATAATAAATGTTGTTTTGAATTGAAATAGGTTAATTTAGGTTTTTTAATGTTTCTTGCGGTTTTGATTTTGAAAGATAATAATTGTTGTTTTGATTTTTCTTATCGGCTTGTTGTTTTGACTTTTCTATCAGATTGTTGTTTTGATTTGATATCGATTAATGTATGATTTCATGTTTTGTACGGTTTTTGTGTTTCCTTCATGGTTTATTCTGTCTAATTCCATTTGTAAGAGGTCCTAGATAAGGAAAAAAAATTATTCTAAAGCATTCGTTGGAGAATCAGATTTATTTTTTATGAATCTTGCGCCTATCTTTCTTCTAACAGTATGTTTAAAGTAATAGGCTGAACTAAAAATTAGTTTCCTTTTGATAATACAGTGTCGAAGGTGATTGAAATGTGAGTTGATATTCTGATTCTAGTGAAACAAGTCATGCAGTGTTACAGTGTTAGCTCGTTCATAAGTTACTTTGGAGTGGTCAGAGTTTGTCTCATTAGGATGACTGAAGGTCACTATCCTGATTAATACATAAAGTTATTAATGGATGAGTAGTCTTTTTTCCTTTTTTTGTTGCCTTCTGATACTATAAATTTTATTTAAGTGGATAAAATGCTTAAACCTTATTTTCACAGTTTTTGTACCCTTGCTTAGGTTCAACCTTTACAGCCCTCGATTAATGGCCTCTAGTAGAAGATTTTTTTCTGGATGTCTGTTGCGTCAAGCACTACAATTGCCTTTTCTTTTATCCTTTACTAGATTGCATGTAATGCACCATCTGTGGCATATGTCCTCCAACTTATACATTACTACTGATAGTATACCTGTCAGTCTTAGTTGGATTCTTGTATGTCAATTCAAACTTTTAAGTTGAGTGACCTTCTACAATGATATTATAATGATATTGCAGCATGCTTCATACCTTGTTTGCATCCATTGATAATTCCATGTTGTTCCTCTTTGAACATGCAATGGTAGTCAAACCAGGAGGTTGTAATTATTCTGTCTACTGGTCTCCTGGATTGTTCTTATCTCTGGTAATATGAATTTGTTAAAGAAGTTGTTTGTGAGGTCAGATTTCTGATGTTTGATTATGGTAGGAAATTTTACTTTTTTTTTTTTTTTTTTTTTTTTTTTTTTTGAAGTGCTATCATACTTCACGATGTAATTAAGGCTCTCAATTCCCAAGCAAAACCTAACTCCATTACAGTTCTTTTTGCAGCCCATCAAATTCATGTTTGGTAGAGGATCACATGTTTATTCATATGCCAAGCATTGTTATCTAGGCCAGAGGTTACTCAGAAATAGCAACAAGGTACTACTTGGGTTAAGCTCAATCATTTCATGCAAGATCCACCCATGTTTATTTTTCATGGATGAGTTCGGCTTGACATTCCAATTTTAGCTCTGGCTAACAGGTATGGTATTTCTTTATTTGTTTTATTGCAAATTACTAGTAAAGAATTCTTCATTGTGTTATAAGAGTAAACAATGGTTGCTACTTTCTAGTGTAAGAGTAAATGAGTCCTTGAATTAATAGTTTCCATTTAAACACCAGATCACCATTACCATAAGAGCTGTAAGGCCAGTTGACTGAGGTTTTTGTCTTACGTATGCTACTGGATCTCACAGAAGGAAACAGAGAGCAGAATCCATGCTGTTTTGCCCATCATCCGTTCCTTTCCTTTAAAACATTAATATGCCTGTAAACATTATGCTTAATGTGGTCTTGAAGTACTGTTGCCAATAGTAACATGCCTAGATGCTTTATACCTTATAGATATGATGTTTTCTTTTTGTCATGCTGAATTACAACAATTTTCTTCTTAGGTCCTTTAGGATATTACTTGACATTGTTACAATTTGATGCTTTATACCTTTTATTAAGCTTGCAATTTGAAATGGTTGGGTTTTCAAGGTGGTGTGGTGCTGTTGATACTGGACAGTCTTTTGCTATATTGAAGTCATGAGACGTGCTAATTTCTAAATTGCTTGCTCAACCCCTATCGGTATTTTTATCTTGCATCCTCTTATTTTTATGGTAACAGATAATCTTTATTGTAAGAGGTGCAACTTCAAGCACAGTCTCTGTTCTCTCACATCCTCTCTCACCTCCCTCTATCCAGAACCAGATCAGGTTAGTCGGTGGAACCGAGCAGTGGTAATTGAATCCTTTTCCTAATCTTCTTCTGGCTTTTGTTCAGATTGAATATAAGTTCTTTTTGTCCACTCGCTTATTATGTTAAAACTTCCGTATGGGCCAAGCTTTAAAATTAACAGGCCGTTTAATGCAATTCCACTTTCTCACAGGAGTGGATTGAAGGACCGATACGTAAACGAGTCAGTTATTTTTTGTTGTATTTGTTCTCTCAGATCTTTCATCTTTTGTTTCTGTCAGTAAAAATGTCCACTCTTGTTATTCGGTGATACTTGGATAGACTCTTATTACGGTATGGGTTCATTTTATTGGAATTTTACAGGCCCAATTTGAAAAAATATGGGCATTCGGGCCCAAATTTTGTACGACTCCAATGGCTTAAGTTGCCCCTGGCATTGTTCCATTAGACAAAACGTTTTAGGCCCAATTTGAACAAGTCTACGGGCCCAACTCTAATCTATGTGGCCCATTTGGGAAAAACCCAATGAAACGAGGCCGTCTGGGTTAAACTTATTGGGCCGTGCAATTGTTTGAAACTAATAACAGATAAGTGGCCCAATATTCTACGAATTAATGGGTCTGGTAGCCCACTTTGTAGAAACTAATGGGCTCAGGCCTAATTCTTTGCGGGCCATATGATCCTTCGGCCCAAATTTATATGCTTACGGCCCATGGGCCTACTTATAACCATTGTGGGCACTAGGGCCCAATTTATGAAAAGTAAGTTTTTGGGCCCACTTAGGAGAGCTTATTGGGCCTCGGTCCCCCCAATTAGCAGGCCCAAGTTTCCACCTCTGATTGATTTGGGCCTCAAGCCCACTTGCTTAAGCATTATGGGCCCTGCAGCCCAATTTGGATAGGCTCTGTAGCCCAATTCGGATGGGCTGAAGCCCAATTCACATGGGCCCTTCTTAGGTATTCTTATTGGGCCTCAGGCCCAATGTTTATATAACCCAGTGCCTAATTGGAAGCCTTCAGACGCAGTTTGATATGCTTTAATAAATTTTGTTCGACTAAGATGCACCCAATTTATTTAGCGTATTATAAGCCCAATTCAAATAACAATATGAGCCAACAAGCAGCAGCCCCAACCCACGTTGAGTGGGTCGAACTATGTGATCTTATTTTGTTCCATTCTTTCAACTTATATCCCACGGAGATGGCCTACTAGAATTAAATTTCAAAACTTTTGGTTGGCCCATGACAGCATGTGTAATTAGAATAATTTCGTGAGCCATCCAGCCCGGTTTAAAATCAGTTTTTTGAAAACCAATTGACCCAATCCAGAAAAATTTATGGGTCGCCATTAAGTGTAAGTTTTCTTTATAGTTCATGGGGCCTTGCAAAATTAAAAATTGAAAAATTAAAGACCGACCACTAATTCATCGATTAGTGGGGCGTGCAAGATCATGTCTGCATGTGCCCGCGCGCGTCTGCTTGTTAACAAAAGAGAAATAATATTTTCTTATACATCGACAATATGATTTAGTTAAAGCCAGCAGGAGTTTCCACTTGCCTCTTCCAACAAGATAATAATCACTTCCATCCCACCCACAAAACCTGTAACCAAACCAAAAATGTTAGGCCCAAGTCTATAAAATTACTGTTAAAAATAAAAAATAGTATATAAGTGCTCATTAGTGGCCGGTAGTAACTAAAGCATGATTCGTTGGGCTGTTACCAAGTCAAGGTCATTTTATGATCCTGAAAAGCACTCTCTATCTTAATTAGAAAAATATGAATTACGACCATGTGCTCTACCCAAACAAGGATAACTACTCAAACAAGTTTCTGGCAAAGAAAAAACAAACAACACGGTTCTAGTTTGACACCTCACAAAGAAAACTATTAACCTTTACAAGCTTTTTTTTGCACCTAACAAAGATGTCATTCACTTTTGCCAGGGGAATGCAGTCAGCAGAATCCACATCACCATCAATAACATTTAAGGATGTCTTTTTCCCCTAAAGGGAATAGCGGATACTTTTCTTAGTTGGTATTTCATTCTCAGACCCTAATTCCCAGTTATTATCCTATTAGTTATGGAAGAGTAAAAGCAACAATTAATTGTCTAATCAGTAACACCCGGTCGCTGGTGTATCTATGCTCTTAGATACATCTCACTAAATTCAAAAACTACTTTGGACAAGAAATCACCTTTCCCAAAAAGATCCATCATTGGATGAAGCATGTAGAATTATAAACCAAAACACTATCCATTTGTTATTTTATATTTTCAGAAAGTGGGTTAAATTTTACTCTACCACATAATTACATATATGTTCACTGAAGGTTTTCTACCCAAAAAAAAAAAGAAGGAAACTCACAAATACATACCTGGAAAAGTTTGTAGCGGTCATCTTCAGAAAGTACAGTTTTTTCAGTAGATTTCTGAAGTTTCACCAGTTTAGACCAATTTATTTCTAAATTCTTCTCAAAGCAAACCTCTTTCTAGAGAAAAGTCTCTCTGTTTCCTGTCAAGTAATGCTAAAAGTTATTCCAGAAACAATCAATTGCTAGCAGGTTATTAGTCACTAAATAAAACACAAATGTCAACACCCTTCCTGTATCATCAAGAGCCCAATACACTTTCAAAGAAACGCCAGAATAATAGTGAAAATAAAAATATGCCTTCAAGCATGGATTCACCTGATTTTCCAATAAGGACTAGAAGTTACAGCTTTCTATTTACTCCATAGTCCATAATAACCTTCAGCATGGGAATCCTAAACTTCATAGTTCAGATGCTAAAAGAGTCCAATTCACTAGCCAGACTAGGGTGTGTTTATGATTACTTGACTCCTCAACCTAACGACCTATTGTTTGACATAGCCAAGTAAAGAATTAATATTGTTTAAATTAAAAGAAGACATTCTCTCACAATGAGTTAAAAATGCTAAAGATGTGACAGAATAAAATAAACAGAACTCAACTAAAGAACCTGATAATTATTACCATTTTAATATTGAATTTTTATGCTCTTCACCAAACATAAAAGCTATGTAATTATAATTCAAGATTCAATAAATACATTAGTTTTTGTAGCTCAACTAGGACAAAGAAAGTCAACACATAAGTAGATAAAACCTTGCAGAGACTACAGAGTGAAAAGAAGATGTTCTCTCACAATGAGTTACAAATGCTAAAAGATGTGACAGAAATAAACAGAAAATTCAAATAAAAAACCTAACTATTATTACCATTCTCATGTTGAATTTTTATGCTCTTTACTACTGAACAAAACATAAAAGTTATGTAATTATAATCCAAGATTCAGTAAATACATTAACTTTTAGAGCTCAACTAGGGACATAGAAAGTCAACAGATAGGTAGATAAAACCCTACAGAGACTATGGAGTGAGAAAAAGATGTTCTCTCACAATGAGTTACAAATTTTAAGAGATTTGACAGAAATAAACCAAAATAAACCCTCAAATAAAGAACCTCGTGATTATTACGATTTTCATATTGAATTTTTACGCTCTTTACCAGTGAATCAAGCATAAAAGTATGTAATTGTAATTCAAGATTCAATAAACACATTAGCTTTTGTAGCTCCACTAGGGACATAGAAAATCAATACATAAGTAGATAAAATAAAACCTTGCAGAGACTATGAAGTGAAATACGATGGATTTATGTCTCTTATGAACATAGGAAACACAATCTTAAACAGAACCAACAAAAAATCGAAAACGAAAATATCTTTATGACAAAAACACATCAGTCACACAAGCTTGTTATTAAGAAATTAAACTCCATATCTCTTTCCTCTGAATTCTAGTAGCAAAGAAGATCTTTCTTCTAACCCTAACCAGGACAAGAAATATTCTGGCATCAGGCAACATGAATAATCAACTAAATTTACCTCTATTCTCCATCATATTTCCCGGTGCTCTTTAGGTTTCTGTTCCCATAACAGATGTAAAGATCGAGTGCAGGTGCCTCGTTGGTCTCCAACAGATCTAGCAGACAATCGAAGAGGAAAATATCTTTATGACTAAGCAACAAAAAACATATGTCCAATTTAGAAATTTCTTTCCTCTATCAAGGAAGATATTGATTCTAACCCTAACTTAGGAGAAGAAATATCGATTCTAACCCTAACTCAGAAGAAGAAATATCGATTTTAATCCTAACTCAGGAGAAGAAATATTCAGGCACCATAAAGAATCAATTAAATTACCTCTATTTCGCATCGCATTTCCCCGTGCTCTTCTAGGTTTTTGTTCCTATAATCGACGTGAAGATTGGGTACAGATGCCTCGCCGGCCAGATCGCCTGGTCCACGGAAGATGAAATCCTCGTGCGAACCTTCAACCGTTTCGGCGAACTCGTCAAATCAAAGATCGCTCGGGATACTAAGAGATCGAGATTCAGATTCGTGATGATAAACGGATCAATAGTCAGAATCCGGACGGCAGATTCATGGAAGTGGTGGATATGAGGTAGTTACGGAGGTCGCCAAATGCCATTACGGTGACGGTGGTCCGAGACGGCACCTGGAATGTGGTGTCTGGAGGAACAATGAGCTCCTTGGGCAAGGTTTTCTCGAATTGGGAAAATATGCAAATGGGTCGGTTATGATCATTATGCTATCATTGGCCTATGGTCATGCTACTTTTGATGACGTGTCCTTTCGAGATGATATTACCATCGGTACCTTTTCAATTACGAATGTTATATATATATATATTTTTTTAACATTTTGGCACGGGCGGTTTCGAAACCCGTCCAGGAGAAGGGGAATGCACCTAACAAGCTCGTTAATACCAGTGGGCCTCTAAGCACAGGTGCCATATATATTTTTTATTTTAAAATTAGATTTGGATTATATTTTTATTTATATTGAAAAGATTTTTTTAATCTTATATTTTAAAAATACGGTATAAAAATATAATAAATATATTTTTTATAATTAAGTTTTATTAAAAGTATAAATATTAATTTTAATTTAATTAATTAACTAATCAAAATTATTCACATATTAATGATATTAAAATATATATTATTTTTTATAATTTTTAATGTAAATTAATTATAAAAAGATACATTTATTACACTTTCAACTTATATTCTAAAAATACAGATTAAACAAACCCATATTAAAATAAAAAAAAAATTAAAAGTGAAAAAAAAAATTCACATTATACTGAGAGTGTGACCACAGCTGCACTTTTGTATGGATTTTTTTCTTTTTGAAAATATATAATATTAGGATGGGCGTTCTTTTTTACTTAATCTAAATTTTATACTATCATTTAAAGTTTAATAAACTCTTTAATTGAATCGGGACTTCAGGCTCAATGGTTCGACTTCAAACTTTAAGTGTTTGAGTGAAATGGTCGAAATTTCGAGCTCTACCACCGTCTTGATAACTTGAACTCCACCAAAGCGGCCCAATGACCGCGTGCCTCATTTGAAGGGTGGAATGTTTATCCGGTCTAAGAATCGAATCCCCAATTGCTAACAACTAATTAAAATCAACTTCCTAATCATTTGTCAAAAAAATAAAAACTCTTTAATTACATCTAAAGAATTATGACTTAATTAGCAACAAGATGTACTTTATAATTTATTAACTAAAATTTAATTTTTTTAAGAGTCCAATTAAAACTTATAAATTTTGTAATTTTGATATAAATTAAAACTACTTTTAACTGAACTAAAGAAATTAACATCCCAACAATTAAAAAAAAAAAAAAACAGAAACAAAGGAAAAAAAAGACCTCTATTGCTCAACGTTGCATTCAAGAAAAAATAAATACTCTTCTCTATTTTCTTTTTGGGATTTTGATTAATAAATTTGAGAAAAATAGAAATGTGCATAAAATGTTAGACTACCACGAATAAAAATATTTAAAAATACCATAAATTTATGAAAACTATTCAAATATCATTAAAATTATTTAAAATTTTTTATTATCATCATTTGGACAATTTAATTACAAGGAAGAACTGATTTTTGCGATCCCATTGAATTTATATAATTTTGTCAATGGACTTTGTAGTTTGTAATGCATGCATAGAAAGCAAAAATTCTGACGAGTAAAATCCACAGCCACCGTCCCATAAAAAACTCCATGACCTTCCATTTATAGCTACAGGCATAAATCCGTCGGCATCTCTAGTTATATAAATATATAATAAAGCATGTAAAAACCTCATCAATAAATCTCAACAAATGGATCTAATACATTACAAAAACGATTATAGAAAGAAGCCTATAATATATTTCCTGCATCCAGTGGAAACAATTAATTAATGAATGTGACAGGAGAGCCAATATGAATTCTGTACAAACATTCTTCTTACCACTATATATACTCATTTTATCTGCTGTCTTCCTTGCACTCTAGTTAATAGCAGTGAGAGGAACTCTGGAGTCTCTCAAGGATTGGGCAGCTTCATATGCTGCCATAATATGTTTGACATCTCCATTTGCGTGTTTTCCGGATTTATATTCCCAAAATGACTTCAAGAGTTCCTCAAAAGGAGGAGTTTTCAGTTCCTCTATGGATGACACACTGGGAAGATTGAATGACCTCTTTCTTGGGGTTGAACAAGATGGCTCATCGACCTGAAACTCACAAAGAAAATATATTTTATTATAAAGCTTTGGAAAAGTAGTGCAGGTAGTGTACCCTGGGAGATATATAAATATAATCATCCTTATGCGTCACAACCCAGGTCTATGCACTCACTGGCCTAACAATTCTTCAAACTAACTCCACCATTCCCACCCTCGAATGCCTAGTGTCACACTGTTGACAGAATTTATTCGCTGACAAGGGGTGTCACCACCACCATCAAAGATGGTCAACACTTCCTGATTCTATTGGAGTAGGTGTAAATCCAACATGATCCCCTCACAACATGGGACCTAAGGGCCAAACTGGGGTAGCAACTAGCCCTCAAAAACTTAAACTTAAGGGGCCCTACCCCTCACACTATTTCCTAGAGGTGGAGGTGGAACCCACATGAAAATTTTGAGAAACATGAAAAACAGAAGAAATTGATACTTTCTTGCATGCTTAATTATTCATTTAAAGAAAGGTACTACAGCTTTTCTTACCTTATAGTCATCAAGCAGACAGTTCCCTGCATTCTCTGTTATTTCTACAATCTTGTGATAGTGACCACCCTTCAATTCCCTTAAATCCCCATAACAGGGAACAATAATGGAATTTAGATTTCCACATGCATCATGGTCCAGTTGTAATGAATCTGCAACATTTGACTGATCAGTTTACTGAATTTCATAAGTAACTTAGAAATTAAAATTGATTAGTATCTTTTGAATCTAGATACAGACCGTTGATGAATGTAAGGAAACTGTTGTTTGCAATGTTGACATCTTCAAGAGCAGTGGACACAGCTGAAGAAAACCGAGTACGAAGGCTTTGATTTGCTTCCATTCCTCCCCTGTTGAATAGAAGGAAAAGATTAGTGAGCTAGAACAGAAAGACCTCTGATTACTTTTAAGGAGTGGCATACCTAACGATGGAATCCACAGAAGCAACATTTCTCTCCTCTAGAGTGAGCAAGGATTCTTGAGCATGCTGCCACTGTTGTGCACTTATTTTTGCCTTCAGCAAACTGCATGGGATTTTAGAGAAAGATTCAAATTTCAGTGAATAATGTAAAAGGCAAAACAGCATGAGCAGCCCACATACCAGTTATGAAGAACCTCTTCCAATTCTTTCTTCCCACTTTCTACAGCAGACGTATCCTCAAGATAGTGGGATTCCGTTTTTTCCATGTGAACTGTCCATTCAGCTTTAACAGTAGAAGTGGATTCTTGCATGGTTGACATTTCCTGCTGCAATTTGCTGGTTCTGCTGCATGCACTCTCACGGAGATCTTGAACTGCCAGTTGGACCTAAAGAACAAAAATAGGAACTTATTCTTAAGGCTTATCCTTCAAAGCCTGATTAAGTTATTAATAATGGACATACAATCTCAGAGATCAAACACTGATCAATAAGAATAATCAGAAACAAGAGCTACCAGTTTATTCTTCCTAGCATTTGAACTTGCAAGCAGTTCTGCCACTTTTTCTAACAATTGCCTTTCTTCATTAGCAGCACATTCCTACAAATACAACAGAATGCATTACATCGGTAAGGCTTTTATAGATGCATGGTTATTGATTATATCTAGAGTAAGTGCTATTACTACCTCAAACTTCTTCTCAAATTCAGATAATTTCTCATCATTGACTTCTTGTGCTTCTCCAACAATTTGGGCAAACTTGGAAGCATGCATATCTAAAGTCCCAAAGAAGTTTACTGCTATTTTAGAAACTGATCGTGCAGTTTCAACTGCCCTTGAATGTGCCTGTATTAAACATCAAATAGAAAAGCATTTATTATTTACATAAAACCGACCCTTAACATGACATAGGTTAGAACTTGGAACACACAAACCTGACGCTGTTGCCGTGCAAATGCAGTTAGCTTCTCTTCTTGATTAGAAAGACTACTTTGAAGATCATTAAGTAATGCATCAGCTTCAGAAGCAATTCCTTTGAAGAGCTGAATGATATAAACAATATCATAAGCAGTCGCAAGTGCAGGAGTTTTTGCATAAAGATAGCTATGAAGAAATACATACATCCTCAAGGGCATGTGAATGCTTAGAAACTTCAGAATTTAGATCACCAAAAGTTGACTTTGAGTTCCCATCAAGCTCCACAGCTATATTGTCCAAACCCTCAATACCAGCACCATACAAGGTCTTCAATTTCCCTAACCTTCCTTTAAGTTCTTCAGTAGCCTACATCCAGGATAGAGGGTTCAATAATAGAAAAAATTAATCAAGTCCTGGAATAAATTTCATGGTGCTCTTTAAATTTTACCTCTGCTTTTGTTGATACAAAAGACTGCATGTCTTCTTCCATCTCTTTCAGTTGTTGTTCTTGTTGAAGCACAGAGGATGCTACAGTCTTATGCAAGATGTCAAGCTGTTGAGTCAACTGGGACTGGAACTTTTGGATAAGTGCCCTGTTTCTATCCTCAATTTTATCCTTCCGCTCTGAGAACCAAGGATGATCAAGAAAAAAGGAGTTACTATTATAGAATAAAACATGCCATAGAACAAAGTTTTTTACTTCAAAAAAGACTAACCAATTTTCGCAAACAAATTAGAGACATCTGATGCAGCATTTTCAAGCTCTGCTCGGAGTTCAAAAGCATGCTCAATAAGAGCTTTCTCTGATAAATAACAATAGATGTTAATGTTATCATTATGAGAAAGTTATTACAGTTCATACAGACAAAAAATGCAACTCAAACAAACAAGTCTTGGGAAATTTTGTTTCTCGCAAGAGAGCGTTGTGCAGACAGGAAACTTGCGCCCCAAGTGTCTCTTAACTCACCAGATTTGAGGAGATTAGATATCAAAAATTCTTTCTCCTTAATCGCTGCATTTGCCTGCCTATGTTTCTCTTCAAGGTCAAACAATGAATGTTCAGTCTCCTCAAGATTTTTCTGAAATTTTTAAAAAGAAAGAGAGTTAGCAAAAAAAAAGCATGTAACTAAAACATGAAATCAGAATCTCTCAAAGTTCACATTGAAGGCAGTACCTCTGTTTTTTCCAGTTTCTCACTTAATTCTGCATTGAAAAGCTGCTCGGAATTGTATAGCTCCTGAA